CACTCGGCTGCTTATTGACATCTTTATGGGCGTGCTAAGAAGGCATCTGAATATATGAGTTCAGGACTATGTATAATTTTTAGACTCATTTTTCTCTACTGGCCCCTATAGGTCTTTAGGTTCTAGCCATATTGAGCAATCTACTTTTTCTAGGCCCCTTTTTGCATAAGCTGTTACCTCTGTTCAATGAATGAATGAAGTTAAGGCTCAGAAGGGAGACAGTAATGGTTCATTCTTTGTTAGTCTATTCCTGCTAATATTTCATGAGGTTCACAACCCTACTGCTTCTTAGCTCAGGAATCTTTTTTTTTTTTTTGAGACGGAGTCTCGCTCTTGTTACCCAGGCTGGAGTGCAATGGCGCGATCTCGGCTCACCGCAACCTCCGTCTCCTGGGTTCAGGCAATTCTCCTGCCTCAGCCTCCTGAGTAGCTGGGATTACAGGCACGCACCACCATGCCCATCTAATTTTTTGTATTTTTAGTAGAGACGGGGTTTCACCATGTTGACCAGGATGGTCTCGATCTCTTGACCTCATGATCCACCCGCCTCGGCCTCCCAAAGTGCTGGGATTACAGGCTTGAGCCACCGCGCCCGGCCCAGCTCAGGAATCTTTAAGCTCTCTTGGGGCTCGTTATCTGAGTACTCTTTCTGGCCTGCTTCAGGGTGAGGACTTCTAATCAAGAAGCCCCATTACCTCCTTGTTATCTGTAGTATGTTTTGGTCTCTTGGCCTTGGGCTCCCCAGCAGCATCTTCATCAGATGATCTCCGCCTTTTACCTTTCCCTGCCAAACAAACAATTGAATACTTAGGCTGTATCTCACATGATGACAGGAAATGACCAGGTGTCTTTCATTCCAAAGACACTTGTAGCTGCCTCTAGATCAGAGTTGCTTAGGGGGTTGAAGAGCTCTAAGGATCACAAGTAAATGATGAAATAATCGGAAACTCAACATGTTCAAAAAGAAACTCAGTCTTTCTCCTCCAAAGACTGGTTCTCCTCCAATGCTCTCTTTCATGGCCAATGATATAATCATCCTCCCACATGCACAAGTCAGACACACAGATGTCATTCTTGATACTTGTCTCCTTCACCCTTTCTATATTTCATTTTTCACCAGCCTGTCAACACTTACCTTTGCCCCATCCTCCTATCCTTTCTGTAGACAAAAAATCTTTTAGAAGTATAACTTAGACCATGTCACTTCCTTAAAAATCCTTTAGTGGTTTTCCTTTGCCTTGGCATAAAGAACAGATGCTCTATAAGGTCTTACTTGATTTAGCCCCTGCCCATCTCCCATCCATGTACTAAGCAGGTAGATCCTGATTAGCTTCTGAGATCAGACCTCTGCCCATCTCTAACCTTATCTTATACCTGTCTTGCTTTGCTTACCATGATTTAGCTATACTGACATTATTTCTTCAAATGCTTTTTTTGTTTACTACATACCATTCCCTTTGCCAAAAATGCTTTTCCTCTGTTACCTCGCTGTTAGCTTCTATTTAAAATCTTAGCTCAAATGCCACCTTCTCAAAGAAACATGAGGCCTAAACTCCCAGATGAATCCAGTCCCCTATTATATAGTTTTCTTTCTTTTTTTTTTGAGACAGAGTCTCACTCTGTCGCCCAGGGTGGAGTGCAGTGGCGCAATCTCGGCTCACTGCAACCTCTGTTCCTGGGTTCAAGCAATTCTCCTGCCTCAGTCTCCCAAGTAGCTGGGATTACAGGCGTGCATCACCATACCTGGCTAATTTTTGTAATTTTAGTAGAGATGGGGTTTCACCATGTTGCCCACACTGGTCTCAAACTCGTGGCCTCAAATGATTCAGCCACCTCCGTCTCCCAAAGTCTCCATTATGTATTTTCTGAACACCTCATACTTTTCCTTCATTGTACTTATCACAGTTTAATTATGTATCAATGTGATTTTCTGATTAATGTATGTCTCTTATACGAAAGCCCCATGGCAGAGACCATGACTTTTTTATTGTTATACATCACAATGTCTAACTGGTTTATACTTTTAACAACCAATCAAGAAGAATCCACAGTTAAGGCAAGTCACAGTTCCAGGGGTTAAAATTCCTTACCTATCAAGCTCAGCTTAGGAACCAGGTACATGTCCTTCTCATTAATGACAAGTGCGGGGGCAGGTGGTGGTGGCCCAGGGTCTGAATTTTCAGTGGTAGGTACTGAGGGGCAGCGTTGTACAAAGTGTGTGTCTGCCAATCGTACAAATGTGTTTGATACTTCAGCATAGTCCATGGTCTTTCCATCTGTGTAACAGGAGGAAAAGGGCAGATGAGATGGCCTAAGACAGCTCAGGGTCCACTCATGTAGCCAGCTGATCTACGCTTTTGCTAACAGCTGTGGATACAGTACTGACCCTCCATGGTCTCTGTGAGCCGGTCTGCCACTTTCTTCACAACAGCTGACATTGTCAGTTTGCCATTCAACAGAAGCTCCTCAACAATCAGCTCTCCAGTGTCACTATACAGAGTTTTGGTAGTATAGATGTACCGGGGGTATCTAAGCATTCGTAATACCCGGCTGCACTGGGCTTCATACTCCACCACACCACGTTTGTGCACTTGATAACTCACCAGGTTATGCTGGACAAGAACACACAGGGCCTTTTTCACCTAGATGGGACATAAAGAGAAGAAAGAGAGGAAAGACCTGAAGATATAGCTCATTATTGCTGGCAATTTTTTTGTCCAACAGCTTACTAAGCATCAGAAAATGGCTAGATAAGAATCTTTGCTCTTATTTCCTCTCTCCATTGGAGTAGTTAATAAGAATCACATATCAATACAAGAAATCAGGAAGATTCCTTGCTATATTTTCTCTGATCCTTATTTTTCAAAACACAATTTACTTTCCTTCTATCATTCTCATTCCTTAAAGGCAGTATTGAGGTTAGTAGACTTACTGTGAATAAATGAGGCATGGCGTGGGAAGAGCAAAGATTTGCCTAAGACGCTGTGATGAACTAGAAACACTTTGAGAAACAAAATGTTGATGTCTAAGTCCTATCCTTTTTTCCCCCAAATAACATTGTTTGCTCCCAGGGCAGGCTTTTTCATTTTTTCCTTTTCTGGGGTGAGAAGAACAATATTCAAAGGTGGGCGAAATAAATTAGCGAAAGAAATGAGAGAAAATGAATGTCATTTAGACGTACCTGATCCAGTGATGTTCCTGTGTCATGGGCAATTACTCTTAGTGGCTGGCTGCCAGTTCTTATCAGGTGGACTCCAATTTTTTCTACAATCTCTCCAAAATGCTCTTGCAGCAACAAAGAACAGAGCTTAATTTCTGCTTGAGTCATTGTACTGGGGAGTCTGAGAGCTAGGGGAAAAAACACCAAAACAGTACGATGGAGTCTTTCTTTCATGCTGGAAGCAGAGCTGCTCAGTGTAAATTCATGTGTTCTTTCTGGGGGGCAATTTGACAATACATATCAAAGAGCCTTAAAAATCTTGCATATCTTTGAAACACCAATCTCTTTTTGGATACTGTGTCCAAGGAAAGAATAAAAAGTTAATAAAGTCGCCAGGCACAGCGGCTCATGCCTGTAATCCCAGCACTCTGGGAGGCCAAGGCAGGCGGATCACTTGAGGTACAGAGTTCGAGACCAGCCTGGCCAACGTGGTGAAACCCTGTCTCTACTAAAAATACAAAAAAAAAAAAACATTAGCTGGGCGTGGTGGCACGTGCCTGTAGTCCTCACTACTCAGGAGGATGAGGCACACAATTGCTTGAATCCAGGTGGTGGAGGCTGCAGTGAGCTGAGATCTGGCCACTGCACTCCAGCTTGGGCAACAGAGCGATACTCTGTCTCAACTGAAAAAAAAACCCCATAATAATAATAGAGTCACTAGTTCTCTTTATGACACCGACTTACTGGAAACAATCTAATGTCTAACAGTAAATGATGGCATACTACACCGACATTTCAAGTTATTAAGTACCATGTGTATTCGTGTAGAAAATTATTCATAATAAGTGATAGAAGCTGCAAAAAATTAACATTCGATTATCATAAAAAAAACGGAAAAACGTATGCATAAAGACTATGCATCAAATTTATCTTTATGGGATTATGCGTGATTCTAATTTTCTTTAAAGATTGGGAGTAGACTATTCTGCAGTCTGTCAACAGACCTTAGTTTCTACACTTCATTGCTTAGGAGAACTAAGGTCACTGTTCACAGCCCGGTGGGAGTGAGTAGGTAGTGTTCATTCTCAGTGAACATTCTCAGCCCATAAAGGAAATGATAATTTCGAAAAAGAAATTTAGGAGGTAAAGGACTGCTTCTCAACAGGGCGTGTGAAATAGATGAGGTTACGTTGTTTGCAGGGCAGTATTCAATCCTGAAACTTCTACTCCTTGACAAAGTTGACACAATCAGAAACTGATGTCATTGATTATATGATTACTTCTTTATTACAAATTGCTACCAATTCTTAAGAAGCCAAGTCTTTGGCACCCCCGCCTAAGTATCACCAGAGACCTATTTCATCCAGGCACTTATCTTTGGAGAAGCATTCCCAGACCCTTTGCCATCCTCGGAAAGGACTTCCAAGGCGCTTGGCTCCTAGGTCTGCACTCCCTTTACATAGGTTCCCGCTCCGGACTCGGTCTCTCGGTCAGAGTCAGCGCCGCCTGGCTCAGACAGCATTTTCCACTAACCTCAGGGTCCGCCCAATCCAGAGGCTCCAAACCCAGCGCCTCTGAGCTCCCCGCGGCGGCTTCCTGCGGCTCCCGCTGGCCTTCCGAGCGGAGGTGGAGCCCACCGCCCTGTCTAGGAAGAGGATGGCCACAGAAACGAGGACGACCACGGAACACGACGCGGAAAGGCGAAAAGCGCGTGCCGTTCTACCCCAGAGTTTCGGCGGCTTCCGGGGACGCTCTTTCTTTCTTCTCGCTGGAAGGCTGGAGGACCAGCGAGGGGCTGCTCTAGGAGCCGGCGGGCGGGCGGGTTGCCGCTCCTTCCGGCTCCTGTTTGGTTCTGGGAGGCGGGCCGCAGGGTCGCCGTCAGCGCCGCCGCCTCTCTGGGTCGGACCGGCTCACGTGACCAACGCGGGCTCTGAAGCAGTGGGCCGTACCGAGGCGGCGACGGCGACTGCAGCTCGCGAGGTAGCGGCCTGAGGAGGGTCGGGCCGGCTGCCCTCTCGGACGGCCGCGGCGGAGGACAAAAATGGCGGAGGCCTCGGCGGCCGGGGCGGACTCGGGCGCCGCTGTGGCTGCCCACCGGTTTTTCTGCCACTTTTGCAAGGGCGAGGTCAGCCCTAAACTACCGGTAAGAGCCCCGTGTCCTCTGTACTCGGGAACCGCATAGATTCCTGGCCTCAGTGTCCCGGAACTAGGTCTGGAGCTTTCCGCACACCCTCGACTCCCCTGACATCGGTCCGCCGAGTACCGGCTGCCCTGTGTCTGCAGCCGCTGGCCCTAAACCCCGGGCGTCGCGGTCCCGGCGCTGTACCCCCTGCTCACCTCTTACTCATCCTGGGCTGCTCCACCTGCCCTCACGTCTTTACCTCCCCCTCCATCTTTTTTTTTCTTAGCAAGTTTTTCTTTGACAACTCTCCCATCAATTTTCTTGTACTCTTTTATACCTCGTCTTTTCCCCACGGTGACCTCCCCCCATACTCTTTCCTCTGTGTCTTCTCACCTTCCACTATTTTCACACTTTTAACCGCCCCCCCCTCCTTCTCAGTGAAGCAAAATAGCGGATTGCTGAGGATTGTCCCTATTCGGTTGTCTCTCGGGAAGGAAGCACAGAAAGGGGGTTGGAAGGTAACTGTGGGGCGGGAAGGGGCATTTTGCTTTTCAGTGGTTTCCAGGGTCCTTGTGAAAGTGAAAACAGCACCCTATTAATGACTTGCAGACGGCCTGCACTCCTATCACTCTTGAAGGAAATGGCTTTAGGAAGAAGGCAGGACGTATTGTTTCAACTCGTTTATTTTGGTTGTCATGCTGCCACTGTCTTTAATACCATTGTTCTGCTCTCCCCGCCACCCCGCGCACCCTGTGTCTGTCTTCACTTAAGAAAAAGATCCCCCACAGAATGTTTTCACGAGTTTCTGTCAGACTGTTAGCCCCTCGAGGGGCAGTGCTGTAGCCCTGAAGAAAACCCTTTCGTAGGTCAGGCTCAGGTCTGTAATCTCAGTGCTTTGGGAGGTCGAGGCAGGAGGATTGCTTGAGGCCAGGAGTTTCAGACCAGCCGGGGCAACACAGTGAGACCCCTAAGAAAAACAAACACGCAGCATACTAGCCAGCACCAGCATCACAGACCCAGAAGCTGTCTTGGGTTGGGTTGTAGCTACTCCGAGGAGCCCCCCAGGTTGAATGGCAATCCTATCCTTGGCCAACTGTCTTTTTTTTTTTTTTTGAGACGGAGTTTCGCTCTTGTTACCCAGGCTGGAGTGCAATGGCGTGATCTCGGCTCACCGCAACCTCCGCCTCCTGGGTTCAGGCAATTCTCCTGCCTCAGCCTCCTGAGTAGCTGGGACTACAGGCACGCGCCACCATGCCCAGCTAATTTTTTGTAGTTTTAGTAGAGACGGGGTTTCACCATGTTGACCAGGATGGTCTTGATCTCTTGACCTCGTGATCCACCCGCCTCGGCCTCCCAAAGTGCTGGGATTACAGGCTTGAGCCACCGCGCCCGGCATTGGCCAACTGTCTGTATGATTGTTCCTTTCTTTGGAAGTTTCCAGGTTCGGTCTTATGATAGAGTGGCAACATAATAATTGATGTTTGTATTTATGGTGTCTCAGATATAGTCTAGGAGAAAGCCTTCTAAAGTGAGTCTGTATATCTTATTTCTTAGAAGCACAAATGGAGTCCAGGGAATAAGTGCTTAAAGGGTGTTTAACAGTCTTCTCTCACTCAAAAGTTTTGTTTAAGGCTTTATGACATATTCTTTCCTCTCTACTTGCCCCACCCTCAACTTCATAGTCATAGTTTCATCTAAATGCTACTTAGCTTCCC